GATTATAAATGAAATGTCCAGGTTAAAATACTAATGATTATCTATTTGTAAAATCTGAAGGGGCAATTTCTCAGTACCATCAAGTATATAGGTGCGGATGTATAAAATAAATAGTTTAAAAACCCAACAAAAAAGATAACCCTTTATGAAGTCGTCAAAAAACAAACGTTACGGCAGTTTTTTATATGCACAAATCCCTTTCATAAAAAAATAAAATAAAAAATAAATAAATCTCCATAGACACGCATGCCAGACTAGGGTTAATACATCTTCCGTTTCAAATTTGTACACCCCCACCTTTCCCTGACTTGACATCCATAAAAGTAACTCTATATTGATACTTATTATTAACACCCAACACACGCCTACACAATTTAAACAATTCGCCCTAGCTGTTACCATGGAAATTTTGATTTCAATTATTAAAACACGTAAATTTCAGAAATACGTTATTCCAAAAAAAAAAAATCGCTTGAAGATGGAACAGAGCTTACTCAATTTACTTCAAATAATTATATTGAAGTTTTCGGCTCTTGTTTTGAAACATGAGACCTCTTATGTCGCGAGTTGAATCATATTTTAAATAAATAATATTTTTATATATATAATATATATATATATATATATATATATATATATATATATATACATTTCATTGAATACGACAGACAAGGTGCTATTATTTAGATTTTTATATAATTTCTCATGCAATCTAATAATTTATTTTCTTTTCAGATGATAAATTATATAAAAACTGTCAGAATGTTCTATTTATCCAAGCGCTTTCGGCTATAGATTTAGCCATTAAATATTTTAATTGTTAAATAAGAAATAGTTTGCTGCATAAAATGTTTTCATTTTTCAAAACACGGTCAAAGTATCGTGACCATGTTCATAGTTAATATTATTAAGTGTTGTTATTTTTTTTAATAAAGCTTCAATTATTTTTAACTTTTTGTAGCATGTAGATGATGCTATTATATTAGTGTTGTCAACAAGTATGTTACAAATAGTGTCTGGTAGGTCTCCATGAATATTTAAATGATATCTAATTGTGCTATTGTCAAAAGGTGTAGAGTGAGTCTGCGTGTCAAACATGTTGTAGTGTGGCCTATATAATTAATCATGCAAAAAAGGCCAAACATAATTGAAGGTTTATTACTCAATGATACCATTGGACTACGCCATTGATCTACACTTCTTACCTGCGACTACGACGGGTACCAGTCGATTACTGCTACCATATTCTACTTGGTTATAGTAGCCAAAGCCATTTAGCTACTTCGTTCAAATATATCCCTTTCGGGACATAGCAATATATATATATATATATATATATATATATATATATATATATATGAGTCTTAATTAACACACAGGGAAATATTTGTTAAAATTGTACACGTTAAAACGTGTTCAATTTCAAATTTCAAAGCAGAGCGATATAATATCTTAATAGATGTGAACGGTGACCGGAATACGACCACGGTTTCGAACACCAAAACAAAAGATTTCATTTGGTAACATTTTTTCCTGTTCTTTCAAGGACGTCGGGATTTTATGAGAGAAGGCCATCTTAGTTGGGTCGAGATTTTTTGAGCACATAACCATTTTCATGCGTATGGGCGTGTGTTATATCTTTCTCTTTCAACGGACTCAGTAATATTTATTGACATTTCTTTGAATCATAATTCAGCAAAAGCACCCTTTTTTCACTTTTTTTTTTCTTGCGTTTTTCAGCTTTTCGTTAAACACATTCCCTATAATATACAATATATTCTGTTAAACCAAATTGACGACTCTCACAATTGGACCCACCATTTTATAAAGGTTTTAGCAATTTTATTTTTTTTTTTTTTCTTAGATTGTTTTGGGATTATTTGCGATTTATGAAGGCGGAAGACGATTTATGCAAAAACAAAACTAAAATAAACTATAAAAAAAGATCAACATAACGGTTCGGTTATAAAATTAAACACGCTAAAGATTCAAACAATAAAAGAAAGAAAAAATATTAATGGATAAAAAAAAACGAGCCGTAAAAGAAAGCAAATATGTGGCAATATTTTCTTATTAACAAATATTCAATATGCCAGTAATATATTATTCATATCAATTTTTTTTTCAGTTTCATATAATTTCATTTTATAGATATTATTGTTCATTATATTTTTTATGGTGTCTTTTTCTTTTCTCTCAATCCCCTCTGCAATAACACCTCGGCATTTTTTTTGGGGGGGGAGGTTGGACAATAAAAGTTAGAAAAAAAAGTCATGGTTCTCTTAATTGTTTTCATCATTCGTCTTTGACTTCTCTCATTTATCTTTCATATCGATATTTTCTGGACGTCTTTTATTTCATTTTCCATATCTCCAGCTCCTACCATTGTTCTTGATCTAATTTTCTCTCAACATCTAGTATTTTCAATCATTCTTTCTTTTCTTTTTTTTCATTCTCTGTAATTTCATTTGTGTAGGTGTGCCCAACGCTTATCGCCGCAGAAAATAGTTTCAGCATGATGGGTTCAAATTCAGGCTACGTATTTTGCTTTTTCGCTCTCCACTCATATACCTGGCAAAAGGCAGGAATTCCTCTTTCTCCGGCGAGGGACAAGAAAACAGAGCAGACTAAACTCTTTTACTCTGGTTGGCAGCAATTCCATGAAGACGACTGTATTCAAATCCAGGCGGAAGACAGATGGGCTTAATGATATTTTACCCTACACACAACCACTGCTACTACGGCTGCAGTATATACGGTGCCTCAACGACCCTACATATTTTGGTAATAGTAATAGAAATATTCTTCTCAGGTTAACATAAAAGAAAAATGGGATTTTCTGACAAGGGCAGCAGAGAGTCTGCCTGTAAAGGAATTTTGGATACAAACTCTATACAAAATATTTGGGTAGATTGGTTAATTTACCATTGATATAAACCAGACTGACGATACAGACTATCTTTTCCTAGACACGCCCGTTGTAGACGATGTTGTGCTTCGATGATAATAAATTATATTTTAGAAAGTAAGCTCGATTTTTATTCATAGATTTCTTGATATTCGTACATCTTTGTTTTTATAGCCACAACGTTTCGGCAGTTATGTTCTCCGGCCTGCTTTCGGTGTTCATTGATCTGTAAGGATCTTCGTCCTGAAAATTTTATTTACTCTACGTGAGTTGCTTATTCTAATTCCTCTCTCCATGCCTAGGAGTATACAGTCTTGTCCTTAAAAAAAAAAAAATAATAATACTGTTTATTATTCCTCTATTTCCTCTGGTTGATGGACTCATCACGTTGAAATATTAATTCCTGTATGATCACCAATGTTAACAAACACTGAACCTGGTCAGTACCAAGATAGGCGGTCTTTTGGAAATACCAGGTGCTGGAAGTTTCCAATTCCCGTTCAGTTTGCTATATTCACTTACGCGCAAATACCTTTGGGAAAGATATGAATCTACCTCATCTCCCCCAGATATGGGTTAAATAGTAAGACTTGTATCACTAAATCATTATTATTTTTTTTTTTAAATTCTTACAATCTAAAAATATTTTTTGGCTTCAAAAACCTATAATGAGTTGATAAGCCTTAGAAAACAGATCAATCTCTATAAAAAAAATAAAAAAATGTTTACTCTGAGTTTATGTATGCGCTGTTCTTTTCAGAGATTGAACTCACAAATACTGTACCGCGAAATCCAAGAAAGAGCAAGTGAGTCCAGTCGGATATTGTCTTACGGGAAGTCAATTAACAGCCTTAAAGGTGTTCGAATTCGGCCGGGTAATAAAATGCAAGGAGACAGAATGCATGGTCATCAGTAAAAGGACGTACCCGAAATGCGATTTTCAGGTCGGGGTCACTAAAATCAAGCAGGTGCGGAAGTTTAAATGTTGTCTTCATCTTTATTGTCATATTCACCTTCTCAAGCACGCCAGGTATGTCATGCGTTGCTTTCCCTTGTCTCTTTTTCTCTTTATTCGATCTTGGATCTAACCAACGCTCAAGGACACATGACACAGTGGATAAAAGCGTTAGATACAGTGACAGGATCCAAAGACTGTGAGTTCAATACCCGGTTAAGGCAGTGGAGAACTTTCAGAGGGAAATTAACAGGAGATAACTGATAACTGACATCCATTAAACATGGCACGTGGAACTAGAACAGTTTACCCAGTGAGCGAAATAAAGGGTTCAGTTCGACATTCCAACCACCTGAAGAAGGCCGGAGCGTACAACGGCCGAAACGTTGTGATAAATATGGCGACAAAGATGAGGACAATAGTCCGAATAATGTAAATAATTTACATAATACCTCATCTCAGAAATATAGACAGACATTTTTTGTTGTTTAATTATATATGTATATATTTGTTTGCTCTTTATTTAAAAGAAATTGCTTTTTCACAAAAAATGTAATTTCATACGAGGGAGAGTTAGGTCCTGATTTACGCTATATCAATATTATGAACAGGAACCCTAGTTTAAAATAATAACAATTCATTATTTTTTGATTTTGGCAAATGTCACGACTTGAGGAAGGTGTAACCCATGTTAATATCAAAAAATGTTTTGAAAATGTTTTCATAATTGTTTATGAGTGAACCAGTTTAAAGGCAACAGAATTTTATTTTAATGCAATAAAATCCGATAACTACCACCACGGCATTTATAACTTCAAATATTACTCTTATTGTCAACCTTGACAGGTTACATGTATTTGAGTCAATTATATTTATTCTGTTTGTTGTTTTTTTGTTTGTTTAAATATAGTATGTCCCTGTACAATCATTTCTCAAGTTTTTATCCTTTCTTTCTTTGAAATATACTTTTTCTATATTCCCCCAATTTTTTTTAACCCTTTAATCTTTTCTTTATTATTGACCTTCTGTTGAATGCAGTCTCGCTTTTCAATTCTTTTTTCTTTGATCTTACTTGGGGCTCATTTTTCAAAAAAAAAAAAAAAATCATCCAGCATATTTATTTATATTTTATTTCAGCTAATTTTTTGCTTTCCCATTGTAACTTTATTTTACATCTCTCTCTCTCGCTATCTCTTTCTCCCTCTATCTCTCCCACTCTCTCTTTCTCGCTCGCTTATACTTATTCTTTCCTTCTCTTTCTGACTTTCTTTCCCTTTTTCTACTCTCTTTTATTTCATCTAATTTCTTACTTAGCCATTTTAATTTTCTTTTACATCTCTCTCTCTCGCTATCTCTTTCTCCCTCTATCTCTCTCACACTCTCTCTCTCTCTCTTCCCACTCACTTATTCTCACTCTCTCTCTCGCTATCTCTTTTTCCCTCTCTCTCTCTCACTCTCTCTTTCCCACTCACTTATTCTCACACTCTCTCTCTTTCTCACTCACTTATTCTCACTATTTCTCTCTTTCTCACTCACATATTCTCACTATCTCTCTCTTTCCCACTCACTTATTCTCACTATCTCTCTCTCTTTCTCACTCACTTATTCTCACTATCCCCCTTTCTCTTATTCTCACTATCTCTCTCTATTATTCTCACTATCTCTCTTTCTCACTCACTTATTCTCACTATCTCTCTCTTTCTCACTCACTTATTCTCACTATCTCTCTCTTTCTCACTCACTTATTCTCACTATCTCTCTCTTTCTCACTCACTTATTCTCACTATCTCTCTCTTTCTCACTCACTTATTCTCACTATCTCTCTCTATCTCTCTCTTTTCCTCTCTTACTCACTCTTATTCTCCCTCTCTCTTTCTCATTCTTTATTTCTCTTTTATGTTCTCTTTTTTATTTCAACTAATTTCTTTCTTTACCATTGTAACTTTATTTTACATCTCAATTTCTCCCTCTCCCCACTCTCTAGCTTTCTCTATCTCACTCACTCTTATTCTCTAACTCTTTTTTCTCTCTCTCTCACTCTTATTCTCTAACTCCTTTTCTCTCTCTCTCTCTCTCTTTCTCTGTTTTTCTTTATTTTGTAGTCTTTTTTTTTATTTCAGCTAATTTCTTACTTTCTCATTATAACTTTATTATCTTTTACTCCCTCTCTAACTCCCACTTTTTCTCTCTTTCTCTCTCTCTCCCACTCACCTTTACTCTCCCACTCTCTTTCGCTCTTACCCACTCTCACTCTCTCACTGTCTCTTTCGCTCTTTTTCTTCTCTTTTTTCTTTCTTAATTTCCCATTGTAATTTAATTTTACATATTTTTCTCCCTCTTTCTCACCCTCTTTCTATCTATCTCACTCACTCTCTTTCTCTTTTTTTGAATTAATTTCTCCCTTTTCCATCTAACTTTATTTTACAACTTTTTCTACCTCTCTCTCTCTCTCCCCTTTCTCTGCCTAACTCTCTTATACTCTCTCCCTCTTTTTCTCTTTTACCCAATCTCATTGTCTCTTCCTCTCTTTTTATTCTCTTCTTTGAGCTGATTTCATACTTAACTTACCCATTGTAACTTTACATCTTTTTTTACCTCTCTCTCTCTCTCTCACTCACTTTGACGCTTTAACTCTCTTTCACTCTTACCCACTCTCACTGTCTCTTTCTCTCTTTTTTATTCTCTTTTTGAGCTGATTTCTTACTTTCCCATTCTAACTTTCTTTTACGTTTCACTTTCCTTCCCTCCCACTTTCTCTCTCTCCCTTTCTTTTCTCTCCCTCTCCTTCTCGATCTCCCCCACTCTCTCTCTCCCTCTCTCTCTATCTAACTATCTCTCTCTTAAATATGTATGATCTTACCGTTTCTTCACCCAGTATGAAGAAGTTGTTTTGAAATGGCTGTGTGAAAATCAACGCATTATTCTTTCTTTTATTTCCGTAATATTTCTTTACTTCTTCGTTTCGTTTTCTTTTCTCTTGTTTAATACCCCTGTCTTCATTCTTTTTTGTTCAGTTGAAAGTGAATTATTCTTTCATGTGATTTTTCGCCGCGTGCATATTGGAAGCGGTTCCATTGGCTGATTGATTAAAGGGTCGACGATTAAATATACGGACACAAACTCAAATAATATCATTTTTTGTTGTTGCTATAAGTTGACATGTGAAAGCGGAATCGAAATCGAAATTAAAATAAACAAAAAAGCAAAAATCGAATAAATGAATTTGCGGAGACGGGTGGGCGTACGCAAGAGGGTGTTAAAATAATCAGCTCACCGATAAGAGAGAGTAAACCAAAAAATGTCACAACGAGGCTCAGTCTAGCAATAAAAGAAGCGGCCGGTCACTCACAGGCCTGCTGTTCATTTCCGGGCAAAAGGGTCTCAGAACCGAGTTTACAAATTGGTGAACCACTTAATATAATTTAGATTTTAAGCAATATATTTAACCCGTGGAGTGAGTCATGAATCTACCTACAACATTAAGATATAAATTACGGAACTAGAGGAGTGAGTTGGAAAAAAAAATTCGTCCTAGTTAGGTGACTGATTCTCCGAATGAGGACAACTTATATTACAACTTCCGTTGTCCACACAGGGCAGGATATTGCATATTACTAATAACAGAATCCATAACTCCCTCCCCTAGTTATGTAATTTAGATCTTAATATCAGTTTTTGGTAAAAAAAAATTCTTATCAACTACTTCGTTTTATTCTGCCGATGATTATATTTCTGAAGAAGTGCTGGTCGAAAGGTCGTTAAATTTTAAACGTTGTGATAATTTTGTATCTTCTTTTAATAATAAATTATAATTCCTGTATATATATATATATATATATATATATATATATATATATATATATATATATATTCCACTTTCATTGTTCGTGTTAATATCTCCTCCCCTTTTAGTCGTTGAATAAATCTTTAACGCCCCGAGTGTTCTTGTGTTTTTTATTGTTTTTCTTTTTCTTTCGTCACGTGGTATGATTTTGATTATCGCCTATAAATACGCTGTTTGTCTTTTGCCTCTTTTGCCAGCTTTCACTGACGATCCATTTCGGTGAAACCTGTGTAGGTTTGTCTGGCTCATTAGGTTTATCTAGGTCTGCTCTACAGTTGTATTGAGTTCTTTTGTTAGTTGTTTACTCGTGTCGGGTTTTTTTCTTTGGGCTTTGAACCTGTATCTGTGCGATTATTTTTCGACAGACTTTCATATTTCTGGCTCTCTCTTTTTTTAAAACCTTTTTTTCCTTCGAGATTGATTTGATTATTGGCAAATCAAAAATTCGAAGGTTTTTCGAAACGAGTATAGTTACCTATATATATATATATATATATATATATATATATATATATATATATATAGTATAGTATAGTATAGTATATAAATAAATACCAGAATTGCTAGTTCTTTATTCGGGTGAAAAAAAGAAACTATAAAAAAAAAGTTGTTCTATATCAAAAGTTAGGATAGACTGTTAATGTAATTAACCATGAGAAGTCTATCGCTTCCTTAGTCAGAAAACAAAAAGCCCTGATGAGAAACTACGTAGCAGGCATGACCCGAACCAACACCACACTGCTAAGTGATAAACTTCTCGAGATCAATTATATATATATATATATATATATATATATATATATATATATATATATATATATATATATATATATATATGCAGAATTACATTAGAACATGCATATACCCACTAAAAAACTGTACATCTCGTCTGAACGTTAAAAAAATGTCTTTTAACGTTTCATCAGGTGAGAGATCATGATACTACCGCATAATAAATAAATATATATTTCTCTACGTTTTTAATGAGTCCTGTTTTAAATTAATGTTTTGAACGCTGAAATCTTACTCTTCTCTCTTATATATATATATATATATATATATATATATATATATATATGTGTGTGTGTGTGTGTGTGTGTGTGTGTGTGTGTGTGTGTGTGATAAAATAATTATTGGTCAGTGTTAAATTAAACCAGGAAACCGTAGTATTAGAAAGTGTTCAATGCACGTATAAAGACAAGAAAGATAAAAGAAAAAATTAACATCCAAGGCTTTCAAATTTTAAAAAGATAATTTAATTTAAATTTAGAAAAAAAAACCTTTTTTTAAACATATATATAAATATAATGTATGACGTCATTTGTTTACATTTGATACGCCATGAGTATATATAAATGTACGTGATTCATGGATGATTGAAGTTAAAATATATATATATATATTCCCAAACGCGCATTGCGCGTACGGTCGAATGATTGATGGAGCAATCGGAGATCTGAGTTCGAGCACAAATCTTGTTCATGCTATATGCTAATGCCCTTGTGAAAAGTATAAATACATCTCATCTATTCAGCGTATTTCAACGGGTAAATAGCAGGACAGGCGACCTACTCTATAGACATGGGTAAACACTATTCTGGGAGGAGGACAATTCTGAATAGAATTCATCATTTGGATGACTGGTGGGACGCTGTGCACAAGTTTTCGGCTCTCCCCAAAATCTGTGGTCGGTTCTTCAAAAGCCTTCCCTACTGCAATCAGATCATATGTGTGGGTAGTCTGGTTGTTTGTTTGTAATAACTAAAAGTCCGAAATACATATTTTATACACACACATATACACACACCCACACACCCACACATATATGTATAGGTTCTACATTCAACATCATTACGTGATAAGACACCCGAGGCGTTGAAACAAAATGGCTATTTTTGTAGTGATTTTATAACATATTTATGTTATAATTTTCGAATAAATAATTATATATATATATATATATATATATATATATATATATATATATATATATATATATAATAAGTTGCAAATTAAAAAAATAATAATGTTTTTTTATGAAAGTATTTATTTATATATTTGATATTTCAAATTGACCTCAATCTTTCTTCAGAAATAACTGTTTGTTTACAAGTAGCGTCCGTCGCGAGATGCGGACGTCACGTGATATGGAACGCCACTGTGTTCGAATATTCTTAACGTAAATCTAACTGTAATAATATTTTAGGTGTTGTTTAAAAAATAAAAAAAATAACTATATCTAAAAAAAAAAAGTTTAACTATTGAAATATTTATAAAGATTTAAAATACCCGTCTTTATTTAACCCTACTTTATATGTATTTAATTTTAAAATCCTGTATTTTTCTTTTTTTCTGCGTGTGTATGCGGAACTGAAATCAGAATTTATCAATAAACATTTGCAGTTTTCTAATGAGTGTCCTGATGGATTAAAGTGTTCAGCTATGGGGGAATAAGGATTCTTTTGACGTATGGTTTTTTATGATTGTTGAAGCGAAATCTAAAATTATTTCCAGATTCACCAATATATCCACTATTAGGACATAAGGTGCAGAATAAATAGTAGATTATGTTATGGCTATCACAAGTGAGGTGAGGTGGGTGTATCTTGATATTGGTGTTGGGCACAGAAAATACATTATCCATTATTAAGTGTTTGCAAACTAAGCAACGAGGTTTGTTATATTTGTAATTTCCTGATTGGTTTGTATTTTTAGATATTTGGTAGAGGTGAGGATAGCTGATAGGTTAGGTGATTGTTTCTTTGCATTTATGGGTGGTTTATCGAAAATGTCTTTGATCTTTTTTGTCTAACTGGAGGTTCTTGTAATCCTTTTTTAAATTGTGAATAAGTGTGTGGGAATATTGATTGTGGTTAAAAACCATGGGAATCCGATTGTTGTTTTTACTTTTCTTGTATGTGAGACGTGTGTTACGATTTATGTGGATAGTTTTATTTAGGGCTTCTTTTGTTATTTTTGTTGGGTATTTACATTTTAGGAATTGTTTTGTTAAGTTATTAATGTTGTATAAAAAATCTACATGGTCTAAGCATATGCGTTTGATTCTTAGAAATGAGCTTTATAAAATAGATTTTTTTTAATTTAAGGGGATGATATTCACACAGCACTATTCCTGTGCTAGGTGTAGTTTTCACTACGAAACAAAAACATTAACCTGAGAACACGTGTCATTTTCTTAAACCTTTACCTGTCCCGCGGATCCTATGTGATCCACAGGACGTTATTTCCACGTCCGTGTATCATTTGTGGCGCACACGGGCCATGGTTTTAAGAGTGGTAAAACTAAGGGCGCTTAAAAAAAAAAACGAATTTACTATTGAGCAGGACGCCTGAGGAAAAGACCCAGTCTAATATTTTCTGCATCATATATGACCACAGGACGCTTGACTAATAAAGAAAGATCTCAAATAAAAGACATCTATTTTTCTGCTTTA